AGTTTCTCAAGCATATGCTTCAATTAAATCATATAAATAGCCATAAATTCAGATTCAAGAATGAAATATATTGATATAACGATAATCAATATAATCATAAAGATGCATTGATATGGCATCTGAAATCTGATAAATTAACGAGATAGGCCGATGTGTTTTCTCTGTTTTTCGCAACGCCTTCTAGGATACCTTGTATGTAAGTATGTTCTGCTATGGTTGAAAACTCGAAGAAAAATCTCAAGGGTGTGGTGTGTGTGTGGATGGGACAAGGTGGGAAAAGCGTACTTCTACACTTCAGAAGTACAGAAGTACCGAAAAGTACAGAGAAGTACCAAGATGTAGGAAGAAGTACGACGACGTACCGAGACGTACAAAGAAGTACGAAGAAGTACCGAGAAGTACAAAGAAGTAGAGAAGTACGAGGAAGTACCAAGAAGCACAGAAGTACGCTTTTTTCCCTTGAGCAAATGGCACATCATGATGTGGCGTCTATGTGTTTATTTAAATATATGTATATGTATGTGTAAAAGAAAATGAAGAAATCAGCTGTTCATTACATCATCGAAAAAAATATACTAAAATTTTATATAGCATTATTTCGATATCATACATACGTAGAATTTCGAGTACTCAGGCCTCGAGTACGAGTACGAATACGAGTACCTACCCTGCGAGTACGAGTATTTCGAATATTGTGCCCAGCTGTGGAGTATAGTCTAAGTAAAACAAGTTTAAAACTTCTCATTTTAATATCCGATGCTGTCGTTATGCCAACACACCAGCCACTTGATAATAATCTCCGATTTTATTATGGAATAGAAAACAAACATTTTTATTTCGTTACTTCATGTTTTGAAAGAACTATCCTGCATAATAAACAATAAGGATTTAACTCGTTACTTCCGAATGTCCACTGCCATGAACATGAGTAAAAACATCATTGAAAAAATTTTCTGTAGAAGTTTTTTCTACTTGCAGACAAAATGCATCTCAGATATATGTTGTGTGATGGACACTAATGAAAATGTTTACCAGTGAGCCAAATGTATTTTACAAGTTTCCCAATAGCTTGATAGGCAAGAGATGCTAAACAATTAAATGGGCCCTTCAATGACTATTAGAATGTAAAAAGAGGAACGACATATATCATTCAGATTATTTTGTAAAACTTATCATATTAGTAATCGAACAAAATATTTATCGTCGATAAAATGCCTTCATTTATTATATTATTACTTAGTGGTTAAAGAATTGTTTTTAAAAGTATGGTGTCGAGAGTGTATGTGCTGTTATAAGTATATTTTTTTCATATCTTCTTCTTTTCTTTTATCATATTAGTCAAGCAGTCAAAAAAATGATTCTACTCTTTTTTACTTAAAGCTAACATTGTTGAAGAGAAAAGTACGACTTTTCAAATCCTTCTACTCTCTTCTTTCTTTCAATCATCACTGGACTGTTTAAAATACTCTACATAAAAGATGATGCATTTGGTCGTTTTATCGATATTATTAGCATATAGACGGGACTAATGATCTATTTGTTTGGTTATTTTATTAGTCGCTCTTCTGAAATCGCCACCAGAAGTAAAAAGTTAAATAAGTCCTCATTTCTCAAATATTTTTAGAGGATTGAAAATAAAACAAAAATTTATAAAATTCAAGAATTAGTTTTTTTTGATAGTCATAAAATAAACGCAGAATTTATTGTTCTTTGCTTAGAATCCTGAATCTTTCGTATCATGTTTGTGAAAGAACTTGAATAAAATTACTTTAAACTATTATCTATATTAAAATTCTAAATTCTAAATACTTAGAGTTAGGTGTGGCTGTCAATGAAGAGAAGAACTACATCCACACCCATATCCACAAACACTCACTTCCCACACCCACACTCTTGTTATATACATTATTGTAGACGATGTATTCTACTATGTATTCATGTCATAAAACTTTCGATATAAACTATTTTATAAAATTTTAAACACTGAAATTAGACCTTTTGGTCAACCTTAAGTAAAATAAAATGAGTTGAAGATTTAACATTCCTCTTCATGGATATCATTTTCATCAACACTATTGGATATATGAGTGAAAAGTTTCTCTGTACTATCGAATATTGTGTAATGTCTATATACGAGTCAGTTGGACGATTTCTCACGCTGATATAGGTTGACATCTGTTGTTATTGTTTTTTCTTAACACTAGAACAACAATAAATTATTGGTATAAAAATACGCAGAACAATTGCCTAAAATACTATTTAAAAATATTCGAATATGTTCGTATATATCTGTATCATCTCCATTTTTTTTATTGGATTTACATTCAACATTCCTGTCTTAAGTCCTGCTGAAGATGGAATCAATCATGAATTACTTGGTAAATATTAAGATTCCAAGTCAAACAAGCACGGTCATAAACGGCCGTATACGAAGAAATATAGCGGTTTGCATGGCCCAGTATTACGGTCATATATCTCTATGTCGTATACGGAGAAAGAAACGGTCGTTTACGATGCTCATACATGCAGTCCGTATACGGTCTCTGTTTTGCTCCGTATTTCTCTGTATACGATCACGGCGATATACGACCGTAATACTGGATCATGTAAACCACCAAAATACAACCGTAAACGATCGTATAGAGAGCGTATACAGTCGTTTACAGGTGTATACGAAGTCCGTAATCGTCGACCTGAGATTGATCATTCTCTTATGTATATGGCATTTCTCTTAGGTGGTGGATTCGAAGGTGATATGATTTTACCAGATGGGTTTGATCCAACAAGAACACCAAATACAAAAGGTGTAGCTATTTATGGACCTCGTCGTTGGCCAAACAATATTATTCCATACGACATTTCGTTAATTACAAGTAAGATTGATCATAAAAACTTATGAACAAAAATTATACGCTAATTTGTAGATGCTGCACATCGTACTGTGATCCAAGAAGCAATGAACAAAGTGATGAGGGACACCAGCACACCGATTGCAGGATCAACACAACGCAAACAATGTATTACTTTTCGACCGAAAACATCGAGTGATAAAGTTTTTGTTAAAATTCAGTACGGAACCGGTTGTAGTGCATCAGTAAAAGAACATTTAAATCAATTTTTCAAGTCAATGTCTTTGTTTCTTATTTCTTTAGGTAGGATATTCTACTGGCGAAAAAAAAATGACATTAGCAAATCCTGGTTGTTTTTATTCTGGTACTATTCAACATGAATTCATGCATGTTCTTGGTCAGTATAGTATAAATTTTTCAGAATAAAATAGATATTCAAAAAAAAAGAAAAGATTCATTCTATTTTAAACAAGATCAATTAAAATAGTTTTAGTAAATTTATAATTAATTTGAATATTATAAATTAATTTATGTTTGTTGTTTATAAATAAATAGGTTTCTATCATGAACAATCGCGTCCTGATCGTGATTCATATGTTACTATCAATCAAGGCAATATTAAATCAGGCCACGCAGGTTTTCAATATAAAGAAACAACAGATAACACAATCTAATAATTATAGGGACATAACTTTAACAAATATACTTGGGGATCCACTGTTTTAAATCAAAATTCACCTTATGATTATGGAAGTATAATGCACTATGGTGCTAATGGTTTCAGTTCAAACGGAAAGCCAACTATTACACCAAAACAACCAAATACGAAAATTGGTCAAAGAGAAAAACTTAGTGCAACAGATATTAATGAAATTCGTGCTTATTATGGTTGTTCAAGTTAAAGAATATTATTTGTAGAATAATAATAATAATATGTTCTTACTTTGATGAAAACGATAATAATATAACACCTATTGTTCTAATTTCTGAGTTTAACAATAAAAAAAAATTACTCAAATTATTTGATTGATTTATCAATCAATTTAAATTTAGTATCTAATAAATTCACAAATATTTGTTCTGTTCGTGAATTAAAACAAAATATAGAATGAATGTAACATATGATATGAATATAAGGATTTGAGCATTTATCAAAATCAAGATAAAATATAATTGAATATTGTAAGATAGGCCTCTATCCTCCCGTTAGTCATTGGAGTGACTATTTGTAAAACGATTGCAGAAAATAAAGAAACCATGTGATGTGATAAAAAGTATTTTTTTTTTCGTCGTTTCACTTTTAAAATATTGGGTCTACGCAATCGATAGCTTTGAAAAACATTGAATTTTTCGAAACGAAATGTTCTTACCTACACTCAATAGAAATCTTTCAAAATTTCTTTGTGATATTGATCGATGAAGAACCACACTATATGTGTTTCGAAAGCTTCACGATAACTCAGTGAATTACACATTTTAAGACATACGATTGATAATGAGACCATTATTGGGCAAACTGAAGGGTAAGGTGCTGTAGATCCTTTCAGACCTGGATCCGGCCGGATCTAAAGTTTTATTTTTTTTCGGGTCCGAATTGGGTCTGGGTCCAACCTTTTATTTTTTGTCAGAACTGATTACACGTTTGTGTAAATTCGCTGCTCCCTAGATGAAAAATATAGCAACAAGATATAACTGTATGTTGAGTTTTTTTTTCAGAGAGTGACGAATAAATCGCTAAAATTTTGATCCTCTACTTGTTCACGTACACGAAGGCTGCCAAGTATTGATGGAAAAAACCTCTGGTTTAGATCCAGTCGGGCCCAAATTTTTAACTCTTTTCGAGTCTGGGCCCACAAAAATGCGGACCCGCAGCTCCCTACTGAAGGGCAACAAAGAACAGAGTTAATCTATTTATTTTATAAACTCCAACTCATAAGGAGTTGAAATAGTATTGGTTATGAATTAAATATCTTCAAAGGTCATAAAATGGCTCAAAATAAAGTAGATATTTAACAAGATATGTCAAAAACACGTATATTCTTTTGATATTAATTTTTATCGATACACTTCTTTCGTTTCTTCTTTAATGCAATAATACGGGATTGATGTTGCTGTTATCCACTCATTAATGTGATCAAAGAAAAAAAACATCAAGTCTTAATATGTCGTTAAATCCCCCTTCTCTATCATGCGGTTATTGGATCAGTCCAACAGCCCTACATAAATATATGGATATTCGGGAGACTAGACAACATCATACAAGTTCATAGTCTATTTATAAAGTTAGTTTATCGGTGTTTCTTCTAAAAGCACTGCAGAAGGTAAAGGAATAGGAATGATTTTTTTTTGTTTTATTTAAATTTTATAAATAATTAATAATTGAAATTTTGATTTCCTCTACTCATCATATGAGATATGTTAACTTTGATATATTCCAAGATGACATTATATATATACAGTAAAGTGCAAAAGTCTTTGCCGTGCATATAGCTTGACTTTTTCACAACATATCTCTCGAAGTTTCTGGAAAGAATTTTCGAGAACCTTCTGATATATAAGGAGAGGTGTATATATATAGCTGTGTATACTACGATTCGCCGTCAACATTCTTTCTTTGGGAAAAAATGCCTCAACAACCTAACCTAAGTGCAATGAAAACGAAGCGTTCAGCTATTTTACATTTATAGAACAACGGTCATCGCTCTCCCACAACAATTGCTCGTATAACAAAGATCCCACTTCGAACTGTAAAATATAATATTGCCAAGATTAAAGAACAAGGTACAATTGAGGACAGGCCACGTCATGGTCGACCTCGTAAAATTACTGGTAATGATAACCAAGCACTCGGCCAATGGATTCGGCGCAACAACGAGATAACATCACAAGAACTATCAGAAAAACTGCTTCATGATCGAGGTCTGAACGTATCTCAGTGGACCGTTCAACGTCAACAGCATCGAATGGGTTACAAGAGTACTTTGCCGTATGGTACACCAATGCTGACTCAAGAACAAAAGGATGCACGTGTTCAATGGGCAATCAAACATCAAAACGATGACTGGAGTCGAACAATATTCACCGACGAAATCTGCTACCAACTGTTTCGAAATACCATTCGGGGTGTGGGTCAAGAAATCCAAAAGCAGAAGTCAAGAGAATTCCAAAGAACAGACAGAAGATTAAGGTATGGAGAGGCTTCAGTATCAAGGGTCTGGTGGGCTATCATTCTTTCAATGCAATCATGGATGGTTCCTACTACGTTCAAATTCTTCAAGATCATCTCATTCTCAATGCTAGAAAGCAATTTGGTCGGCGATATCGACTTCAACAAGATAATGATCCTAAGCACAAAAGTCTAGTAGCTCAGCAATTCATATCCAGTGAAGTACACGACGTGATCGACTGGCCGTCAAATAGCCCGGATGTCAATCCTGTGGAAAACCTCTGGTCAATTATCAAACGTCGTGTTGAGAAACGAAAACCAATAAATCTTCAGGAATTGGATATGTTTTTACATGAAGAATGGGACAAAACCGACATGCTCATCCTAAATCATTTGGTAAATTCCATGAAATCAAGATGTTTAGCTCTTATTGAAGAAAAAGGAGAGAGAATCAATTATTAAATGTAACACTTTTGTACCTTGAATTATAACTTATCTTGGTATATATTTCGTTTTTATATCGATCATTTGTTTAGTAATAAATATTTGAAACAGTGAGGGCAAAGACTTTTGCACTTTACTGTATATATATGTATATTACCAACCAATAATAAATTTAATTCCATTTAAGTGGTATCGTTTCAATTATTTGTTAGATCAAATAATAACAAAACATTAAAATTATTTCTTGATGAGAAATCAATATTACATTATTTGCACACATGTTTCTTTTTTTTTGTCATCACAACAATGGAAATTAAACCTTAGTACAAGTTGATAATTATGCATATGCACAATATAACATTTTTTTTTTGTTATTTATTTTCATACGTTGTAATCTTGAAGAAAACAAAAAAATATGCTCTTTTATTATTCATACACTAGATTGTTTTCATGACTATAAATCAGATATAATGACGAACTTTTTCTAACGGCTTAATCGTATGTTTTTCAAACAAAAATAATAGCATGATAATTACACATCAAAAAATATATAAATGATCCTTATTCATCGCAATAAATTAAACATATGAGTGAAAAATTACAATAATACGGTGCAAGACATAAGTTTTATGAGATTGATTCACACATCACGTTCGCGAGAAAAATAAAATAAAAGTTGTAATTAATTATTCAGGTAAGTTGAATATTTGATGTACTATTTAATGTATGAAAAACATCAATTTATTTATTCAATCTATCAAAAGCGTTTATTTGAGATATATAATTATTTTTTTTTCAAATACGAAATATCATAGAAAACAATCCTTTATTTTGAGGCAGTTTAACTGAAGAAATTGACTATAAATATATTACTTGTCTTTAACGAAGGTGATTTTTATTGATATGATGATATTTAAACATATAGTCATCATGTGTTTTTTTTCTGTCATTACTTGTAGAGATTTTCATACAATCAAAAAAAAAAATAATATTTACAATCACTCATTCGTAAACATATTGTCCATCATTCACACTTCCAGTGATTTAAAGAAATCTAACCTAGAGCATTTTGTTTCTCGTTTTAAATTTTATTTTTACAAATATACAGTAATGTCTATGAAGTAACATTATCATCAAATTAGATATAATCTTTGCACGCATTGTAATCTCGTTCTATCTCTTTGCAATGGTGTACATTGTACGCCTCTTTTCAATACATTTTTTAAGCACAACTGTATCGATGTCTAGTGGAATTATGTGAAACAGAAATCGACATGATTGCACTAAAAAAGAAAGTTGAATATAAATCGCTTAATAAGTAATAAAACTATTTAGTTGCCCTTGTATAATATTGCTGAATTAATAATGCTAATATCCAATGTCGTGTAATTAATTTTTACTTCGGTTTTAATAATTCATAAATAGATGCATAGGCCATTTTAAAAGCAAAATTGCAATAATTTTGCATGTCATTTTGTTTTAAGTCAAAAGACAGAATACGAATTGAGAAATATTATACACTACAGTACTAACGTTTTCAATGTTAACGGAAAATCTACTAGCACTACAAAGAGATCTAGTGCAGTAAAAAGAGGTAAAGACAAAATTTTAGTGAAACGAATATTACTGAAATTCGTAACTATCATGGCTATTGAAGTGTAGAATTATTATTTCGTTTTTCGCAATATGCAATAAGATCTTTGTACATAATTGATTTTTTAATTTTCGGAATATATAATAAATTTGCATTTAAATTCTATTTCGAAATAATTTTAAAAAAACGTGGGATAATAATCAATGTCAGGTGACAGCAATTTTCTTTACGCAAAAATAATCAAATCATTAACGTTATAAAAATAAAAACATCAAGAGAGTGCACTGAGCCATATCAATTATTTTTGAATAAACAACATGCACGTCTATATGGGTAGAGAGATTGCTCCAATATTATTATGTAATATAGAAAATCTGATAACTTTAACGCGATATGAACGTTGGTTACAAGAACAACCACAGCTTATACTCGATGCATTATCTATTCAGCCTGGCATGAAAATAGCTGATATAGGAGCTGGATCTGGTTTTTTGACAATAGAACTAGCTCATCGTGTTGGATCACAAGGTTCCGTATTTGCTACTGATTTACAGTCTCAAATGTTAGATTTTTTACTTCATCGACCCGATCTTCCTAATAATGTGATCCCGATTCTATCTACATCTAAACATACAGGGCTTCCATCAAAAACATTTGATCTAATTTTATTAGTTGATGTATATCATGAAGCTCCAAGACCTGATATTCTATTGAAAGATTTACGACGAGCTCTAAAATCTCATGGACGACTTGTTCTTGTCGAATATCGAGAAGAAGATCCTCGAATGACATCTGATCCACGACATAGAATGAGTGCAAGACAAGTTGTTATGGAACTTGAAGCAAATCGTTTCAGATTGGTAGAACAATTTGAACATTTACCATGGCAACATCTTTTGATTTTCAAGAAACGATAATTGAATTATTATTAAGGAAGCTTTCTTGACTTTAATAAAATATGTTTTTTACCTACTGTACTTTAACATATAATCATTTTAATTAAAAGAAAATAATAAATTAACCAAGTAATTATCATATATATTAAAATCATTTCATTTGAATATTTCATATTCGATAGTTTAGCATTTGAAAATGTTTTATTTTCTAATGAACACACATATAAACAGTTTTATTTTCAATGATATTTTCATAATGCAAAATGGATATACAATGACTATATTATCAAACAAAATTTTCCTATATCCATATCAACAGATTGAATGACTTTATCATTCTGACTAAACAAAATTTAAAATATCATAAATTACAAGAAAAAAATAAAAATGCTGCAGCAGAATATTTTTTATGTGAATGTATTCAGCTGTCTACAATAATCTATATATTAGATTTGCCTTTGTATTCACATCCTTAAACATATATTTAATATCGAGAATAGACAATATGTTCGTATTATTATTCGTAGTAATCGTAAGTATTTCAGCTTATTCAAATGATCAATTTGTTTGTCCTGGAGGTAATTCTAGTTACCTTCCAGTAACATTACCAACAGGTTGGATAAATGGATCAGTGAATTGTTTTGATGAAGGCGCACAACAACCTGCTTTAGATATATTTCCTATTAATAATGATACATATATTCTACGTGAAAATAAATGTATTAATTATGAAGCATCATTTATATATTTACTTTTTGGTAATAACATTGCATTATTAATTGATAGTGGAGCAACAGTATCACCTATTTCTTTACCTATTCAACAACATGTTGAATCAATCATACTTAATTGGTGTATTATTAATAAAAAAGAACGTCAAGATATTGAATTAGTTGTTGCACATACACATAATCATCAAGATCATATAGCTGGTGATGCACAATTTCGCGATAAACTTTTTACAACAGTTGTTGGTACAACTGTTGATGAAGTTAATCAATTTTTTCAATTAGATAATTGGCCAAATACAATTGGTACATATGCACTTGATAATCAACGTCATTTAGCTATTATACCAATACCTGGTCATGCAAATTCTTCTATTGCTTTTTATGATTGTGCAACAGGTTTATTAATAACAGGCGATTCATTATTACCTGGACGTTTATATATATCAGATTTTTCTGCTGATGTTGAATCAATATTACGTTTGATTAATTTTATTGAATTAAATCGTCTCAATATAACATCAATACTTGGTGCACATATTGAAATGACACAAGAGAATAAAATTGATTATCCAATAGGTGCAACATATCAACCAAAAGAACGTCAATTAAATATGTCATTAGAGCAATTACATCAACTTAATAATGAATTACAACAACAATGGAAAGATGGTTTTAATCGTCGACATAAAGCTTATTATGATACATTTATTTTTGATCCAATTCCATCTCAATTACCACCATTACAACCTGATGGACGTGTTGCAGTTCATGGTTTTATATTATTACCATTGGATAAATCAAATTATGTATGGATATCACATAAACCAATGTTTAGTACACCACATGATTTTCAACTTGTTTATCTTGCAACAATAACAAATTCAACACTTGATCCAGTACCATTACCAACAAATATAACTCGATTATATAATCAATGGACTATTCAACCTGAAAAATGGTCATTAAATAATTTAATTAATGGTAATTTAACATCTTTTCGAACAAAATTATATAAAGGAAATTTTGAACAAGGTGGAACATATTTATGTGACATAACAATAAATATAATTCAACCATTATTAACTGTCGTTCAATTAAATATATCAGAAGTTGAACCTTATCAACCATTACGTTATACAAGTTATTTTCTAACGAATTCAATTATAGCAACAAAAACATATATTCATCTTTATCTTCTTCATCAAATACGTGTGCAACCTGATTTTGACGCTATTATACATGTTATTATTGATCCAGCTAATTGTACAACTGATATTGATCCAAGTAAATTAAATAATTTATTAGGAAAAAATGGAAATGAATGGGCATTTCCTGGAATTGATAATGATATAGGTTATCGTCTTACGCCAGCATCGGGATTAGTACGTGCACAACTTCTTGGTGATATTTATTCAACAACATGTACAATGCAAATTGTTGAAGAAATTCAATGTACGATAGGACCTGATTTTTATGAAGACTGTAACGTTTAATAATTAAATTTCGTTCGTTTATTCTCGGAGGATTTTCTTTTTATTAGATATGAATTAAAATATATTTATTCAACATCTATATTTGAGCTAAGGCATTTTCTTTTTTTTATCGATTTCTATTGTTCATAAGGTCGATCAAAACTAAGTTTATACATATTTGTCAGTTGTGTGTTTCAGCTATATCCACTTGCTTTACAAAGTTACAAGTGATGTAAGTCTTTACAAAAATGTCGAACTCTGCTGGATCGATTATATCTCTGACTTCTAAATCAATCAATTCATTTTTTTTGTTGGACAGAGTCATGTCTGAACTACAAATGTTGTAGTAAAGATATTTTTACAGAAAAAATTCGTTAAGAAGTAAAAGATCAAAATCAAATCCTTTAAAAAAGAAGTTCTTATATCGTATTTGCAACTTGAAAAATCTGTATTTCTCAACTATATTGAGGCACACAGACTAATTTCTAACAAAAAGATTAATCAAAATTCAGCGCATCAAAAACTCTATCAATACACTGGCTTTGATAGAATATATGGTATGTTTTCTTGGTTCTTTTTTAATCTGGAAAGTTTGAAAATAAAAGTTTCGTAAAACAGAATTTATCGGAGAAGAACTATCATTCACTATTTCCAGAAACGGGGCACGAACTCAATTTTTTTCTGTTATTTTGTCAGAATATGGTATATGATAGAAGTTTTGTAAGAAAAAAACCTAATTCAAAAAGCATTTCTAATTATTACGAAACGACCAGATAATGAATACTAATAAATTATTGAGGTTCTTTCAGAAGAAACGATATCTTCGCATAAAATCAGAGAGTATATTCAACTTCTAATACACCATCAGGAAAAGTAATAATTATTTTACAGATATCAGCAACAGGTGCGTTTTTTTCTCATAGAAAACAATTCACATCGATTAGAAAATGAGGTTGTTTGATAATGATGATGATGATGACGATGATGATGCAAGAATTTCTTCAGAGATATTTGATTTTTGTCGTTTTACTTCTTAGATTTCTTCTACATACACATATATGCTACATGATTTGTAGTTCAGACATTGTTCTTTCCAACAAAAAATAAAGAATTCGATCAATTTTGAATTCAGCAATATAGCCTAACAGATTTCAACATTTCTACAAAGATGTTTACATGGCATATTATTTTTCGTTTGTAGTCGTTTGTCAAAAAGAAATACTGTCAAAAGCAATATTCAACAGCCACAAACTTAATGTATTGCATTAAAGAAATATGATTTGATTGATCCGAGAAAAAAAAGAAACGCTAAAAATAGCCATCAGTAGAGAAGAGAATGATAAACATATAAAACGGAAGTAAAGTATACTATTAGAAAATCGTGAATAATTAATTCAAGACACATATTTGAAAATATTTTCTATTCATTTATATAATTTCAATAAACAATCATATTCGACTAGAAAATGTTTTTGTATTTATACATACTTTTTTAAAATATATAGTTTATTAACTTTGGTTATGATAATTTAAGTATGTTGGGTTGCAATCTTTGCAATGATCCTGATGGTTTTTTTCCGAAATCTCTTTGATTTATTCTTGCTGTGTCAAATAATTCTGATTTTCTGAATTTTTAATGCATTTTTGAAAAAAGTACCGAAAATAAAGTATACATTATTATTCATTAACCATTAAAAAAATCAGAACTTATTGCGATATCTACATTTGATCCTAAAAGTCATCAAATAGTAAAAATTTAAACTTTAACAAGTTAATTTACGTTAAAAACAAAATAAGTCCACAATTCGTCTTGTATTACCTTACGAGGGAACTACACCAATTGTAACCGGCTATCTAAGATCATATTAGATCCACAATGAGATCTCAGTAAAACTAGAAGGATCCATGCCGATGGACATTTACAATCGAGTTATGACCGTTTTACCAAATTTTCGACCCATTTTTAGATATTTACTAGAAAATCAAATAATGGAATATCGACCGAAAATTTTATCCATAGATAGGTATAATGACCCTTAGAATATTTTGAAAGGTTCATACGAAAAGAGTGCTCCTTTTTTTTTTGGTATATTGAGCTTCTAAAAACTATTCGTTTGCTATAAACATCTCGTCATTTACTTGAAAATTCGATATGTCAACAAAAGAATATTTTTTTCAGATGAAACTTTCAGAATATTTGAAGAATCATAATACTTATCCATGGATAAAATTTCCGATTGAAAATTCAGTAAAATGGCCATAAATCGATGTCAAATGTCCATAGGCACGAATCTTTTTAGGTTTTTTTCTAGTCTTATTCAGTTCTCCTTGTGAATCCCATATGCGCTCATCTCCCCGTTAGTTCAAAAGAGATCTTAATCCATGACTTAATCACTATTGAAATCAAGTATGTACTTGTGTATTCAACAAAAATATTTAAAAACTTTACATCTAAGATCAGTTATATAATGCTTGGTTGGTAAAATACAACATAAAAATTATCTCTCTAACTTGACTAGATAAATACAGAGTTCAAAAAAGAAAAATCTGACAAAACAAGTATCTAACAAATACTGTACATGTAATAATTCAAAACATAATCATAATAATTAACAAGAGAAAAATCTATTTTTTAGATCGTTTTCCTGATGATTTCGTAGTTTTAAACATATAATCCTCGATTGTACCTTGTGTACGTTTTGCAGATGGTTTTTTCTGTGTTTTATTTTTTTCATTTTTCAATATTGGTTCTTCAAAATATTGACTTGGTTCTTGTTTGATAACGAATGAATCGAGTGTATTTCGATTTGGTGGATTTGTTTTACTAAAATTAACAAAACATAAATGAATAAATAAATAGATAAATTTTCAATCATCATATTTTTATATACGTATTCTCATCCGAACTAAATGGTCGAATATTGTTCATATCATTTATTTTTGTTGATCCTACACTTGGTGTTACTCGATACATTTGAATATCATCATGTGATACCAGTAATGGAAGAACCTATTTAAAAATTATCAATTTTGTTTTTAATTAAAAATTCATATTTTATTACTTTTTCAGTATCATATCGACCAAAATCAAGCCATTGATCAATTTCTTGTTGTGTTGTTAAAATAGCCTAGTAATCAAAGATTGTTTGGTTTTTTTTTCTTTAAATAACAATTGCAATAATGTTTTCCTTACTGGCATTCGAATATGTACATTTACCATTGTTTCACTTGCATCGACTGTACAAATCGTGCATGAATATAATGGATCAATCTATATGTAAAACAATATGATAAGATGCTTTTTAAGTAAGTATCTATATTGAGATTATACCTCACAGTTTCGATTGATATCAAAAATGCCTGCCATAGCTAATAATGGTAATTTACCTGACTTTTCTTTTTGGATTTTTTCAAGAATTTGATCAGTATTTATATTTGGATAATGTTTTTCATGAATGAATGGTTCAGTTTCATATATAAAATATGGTGTTTTTGAGACATTTTTTTTCCATTCGAAGAAACTAAAAAAATAAAACAAACGAATGTAGAATAATTGAATAAAAATGAATTTGAATTTACCCTTCAGCAAGTACAACACATCGTTTACCATATCTTAATGGTACTTTAAATGTTGGTTTTTCATTAATAGTTTCAACTCGACAATTATTTAAAATAGGCTTAAAGTCATTTAAGTTGCCTTTATGATAATGAGGAACAAGTGACCAACGCATTGAACAAAGAACACGTGTTGCTGAATCTTCTGTTCCATCTAAATGTTTTGCCGAAATTAAACAAAGACTAGAATTTAAGAAAAAAACAAACAAACAAACAAATTGTTCAATCATTTTTTAATTCTTCATCATTACCAAGTCGAAGTTGGAGATATATTCCAACTAGCTCGAAAAGGTTTTGTTGAAGACATTAAATCAATATATGGTGGTAATGTTAATTCTTGTGTTTGAGTATTCATATAAGTCGATAAACGACGTACAACATCAGGAGCTAAACCACAAGCAAAACGTCCACACATACTTTTTTCTTTTTTAACTTTCTAAAAATTTCTAAGATAATTAAACTTGTATCATGAATTTATTTAAATTAAAACAGAAACACAAAAAAAAA